TAGTAGTACTAGTAGTAGTAGAAAAGAAAAAAAAGAAACAATGGGTGATTCCAGCAAACATATTAATAGTATGTAAAAATGAGGCTGGCCGTCTTGTTTTATGTATCGAATTACATAAATTTTGGTTGTTGTGGGCCCACGACAACCAACTTTTATGTAATTTACAAATTTTTTATTTGGAATCCTTGACTACTACTAGTAAACATTTCCAGTCTCGGGAGCAGGCGCGCCAGCACCCTAAACTGGTGCCAAACTCATGAAGAAAATTTTGATTAAAGAAAAAAGCATATCTTTCAACAAAGAGGAGAAGGAACAACAACAAAGAAGAGAAGGAAAACCAAAGAAGAGGAACAACTGTGTGCTACTAACAATGCTGATGGTGATGGCTKGTGCATGGAGCCCCATACAGATTCTTCTGTTGTGGAGGAGGGAAGAGAGCCAGCGCTGTCTTGAGAGGGAAGAAGACATCAAAATCCCATGTGTGATTTGCATACTGGTACCCTCCTCTTTGCCGGCTCATAAAAAGAACAGAAGGATGATGGCTCCACCTCCAGCTCCAGCAACAGCTGCAAAATTGGCTCCACCTCCAGCTCTCCCACCAGCAACAGCAGCTGGTGCAAGGTCGGCTCCAGCAACAGCAACAGCTGCAAGGTTGACAGCTGCAAGGTTGACAGCTGCAATGTCAAGGACTGCAAGGCCAACTGCTCAAGAAAGAGGTGGAAGATCCAGGGGATCCACCAACTACACCAGGAGGGAGACAATGTCCCTGCTGACAACCATGAGGAGGATCCTTCCTATTGGACCAGAACAGTGGAGAGAATTCATTGATACCCATGAAGAGAACTGGGGGACTGGAAGAGACAGAGATTCAATCACTAGGAAGTATGCATCCCTCCACAGGAAATCAATGCCTACTGGGAATCCAAACATCAATCCAGCTGTCAAGCTGGCAAAGGAGATCAAGAATCTCATTGGCGCCAAGGCTGCTTGTGGGGATGGAGAGGAGGACTTTGATATGGAAGAAGGATACATTATTAGTGAGGAAAATGACACTTTTGAGAACAACAACAACACTGAAAGTCCTCCTCCTCTTGGACAGCCTTTGCAACTTACTCAAGAAGGAATGACACMAACACAGCAGGTCACTCAAGATACTCAAGATATGACACCAAGGCAGCTTGGTGATGAGATGCCAAACACAACAAGCAAGTTTCGATGCTGTTGTTCCACAGAGTACTCCACGCCCACCACGTCCTCCTGCCAAGAGACCATACTCAAGATGCTCATCAAGAGGAAGCAGCGTCAGCACCGACTTCCAATCCCTGTTCCAGATGTCCCTGTAACAGCAAGAAGCCCTTGCTATCCAGTCCAGGGAACAGCATCAGCAGTCCATGGAAATGAATCAGCAACTGTCGCATCAAAGCATGGTGCAAATCAAGACAATGGTTGCTGAGATTGCTGGTGCTTTTTGTCAATATTCTTGGAAGAAGAGAAAGAGAAAGAGGAAGAAGAACAAACACAATGCGTCGTTATCGTCCTCCTCATCCTCCTCGTCAGAAGATGATTTGGAATAACAATCCCATGGTCAGTTATTAATTGTTATTATTAATCTACTAAACTAGTTTGCTGATTGCTGTTTGCCCCCCCCCCCCCCTACTACTAGTACTGGTTGCTGATTGCTGTTTGCTCCCCCCCAGTTTGCAATTTATGAGTACTGGATGCAAAATACTGGTTGACTTTACGGGTTACTCAATACTCTGTGTTACTCCAGATCCAAGCCACACATTACGCTGTGTTATTTGTAGTTTTCTTGCATACCTTCCCACCAAAACCAGCACTGGTAACAAAGGGGGAGCACTCCCTGGAACGCTCCATGTGCAACGCGTTCCCATGGGATTGTTTCCATGTGCAACGCGTTCCCCTTCTATTACCAGTGCAAGTTTTGGTGGGAAGCTATGCAAGAAAACAGGTATGACAAAAATAACACAGCGTATTGCGTGGCTTGTATTGGCTTGGATCTGGAATAACACGGCGTATCACGTAGGTTCCCCCTTTCTAGATTCTGTTTTTGCTGAGCTCAGCTTTCATAATACTACTAGTAATTTGAACTAACTGTAATTGCTACTAATATTAATCATTGACTAAAGAACTAAATGAAACTAAAGAACAACCATGGCAGATCCCCCCCAACAATTGACAATCAACTGCCCCCCCCCCCAGCACGCAACAATCGACACTTCAATCTAGTAAGAATTGCAATGCTGAATTAGCATCTCCATCAGGGCCCCTCTCATGATAGGAGAAATATCCTATTTCGCATTGTGCATACGTGTCCCTGATCTCTTCATAGGACTGAAAGCCATTGGTATCACTCATAAAGGTGTTGAGGATCTGATTAACACCCACTATGCTGCATTGATAATTATACAACAAAAACAAGAGATTAAGAATGACCTTCCGGTCTCCAAGCTCTTCAAAGGTAAGCCTCTCCTTCTTTCGTGGAAATTGCCCTTGAATCATTTGCAGCATGCCCCATTCTGGTTGCCTGGTTGTTCTGTGCCATTGTGGGGAATTTATCTGAATCATTTTGCTGGCTTCAAATGAGGTACTTAGCTCCTCTGACCTTAAATGCAGAATCCACAACAACTCTCCCCCCTGTCCTGTTATATATGCTTTCTGCCTTCTCATATAGGCCATAATCTGCCATGGTGGGTGCTGCCATGCATACTCCCTGGAAAGTTAAATGTGACTGTCCAGATTCTTCCATCTGGTGCAAAGAGAAGGACACTACTAATGTACGTGTTGATAACCCACAAGTTATAGTAAAGGGCTTGAATATCCCAGTTTGTGGAATGCTCAAGTTTAATTTTCAGTCCATCTGCTGCACCCCAGACCTTCTGTGTTCCAAGTGCAGGATATTTCCTTCCTATTGCTGCAACATATGCCTCCACTTCTTCATCATGGGGAGGTCTAATAATTGCTTTTGGGTGTTTATGCAACACAAAAAGAAGGACTCGTCTAGAAAATTTCAACCATTTACAGAGGGGTGTCGAGGTAAGCCCAAAAACCATACTCGATGTTCTAGTAGCTCCTGATCCATGTGTTCTGTACCAAGTCAAGGCTAATCCAAGTCCAACTTTAGCAGTAAGCACCCTCTTATTGCCCTTTGGTTTGCCTTTCTTAGTGAATAGACGTGGTCTGATCTCCAAAGCGTTTTTGTCAACTGTAGCTATATGGCTGCCTCAAAAACTGGTTCAAAAAGGCTGAGGAGATCCCTGAAGACAGGATGGTCAACACCACAAGCAACAGTTTAGAAGAGGCTGATTATCACCACTATCAAAAAATGAGTGAATGGGGATTCATTAGACTCCATGAGTGCAATTTGTGGAATCCTCCTGTCACGATGAGGCCTGTCTTCGAGGGACAGTCTTTGTTTTGCTGGTGTCTCCTCTTGCTGCTGCCGCTCTTCTTCCTCGAGGGAAGTTCAAAGACGGTTCTCAAAAATAGATAAATTACTTATACCTCGCAACTTTCAATCGAAGTTTAGGGGCATGAACGTTTACTTCAACCCCAACTTGAAATCGAAGTTTATGCCTCTTTATCGTGTGTCACTTTATCAGTCACATCGTGCAGTATTTGTTAGATGTTCACATGTGCAGAGCTGGCAACGTTTTGTACAGTAAGAAAATACTGTATTATTTATAGCTTGCACATAGGCTCCTTCCGTACTGTTGGTCTAAAAGTTGGTATAGGACAGTATTTATCACACGTACATTCGTACTTATGAAAGAAAGAATTCTGTACAAACTATTGGGTCATTCCCGTACAGTAAACATATTTGTTTTTGATACAGTTCTTCTCATTCTGAATCATTCTGAAGTTGTACCCATTCTTCATTTCCGGGATCGGAATGTCAATTATTGGTTCATTCCCGAAAACATATTCTGTGATATGTTTTCGGGAATCACTTTCAGTGGTACAGATGGCACCGCCGGCCAGCTCAATTACAACGAAGTACTGTACTTGTACGTAAACGACCAAGACAGTAAACCTTCTTCAATAGATGGGTTCGAATTCTTCAGAACCCATCCGTACTGCATTACAAAGCATCGCTTTACAACCACCATCACTATTTTTTTTCTTAGAATCTCTATTATTGCTATCGTTGATCAATCAAATATCACAGCTGTTGCAGCTATCAATGCTTTCGATACCATGAAGCGCAAAACGTCAGGAAGTAGAAAAAGAAAGGAGAGAGGACGAATCCAACACGGTGCTACTAAAATTGCGAGAAAGTGAGTTCTATACCAAGAAACGGAATATTTCTTTCCGGAGTCTCCTGTTTAGTCCTTCCCGTTTGCTGACAATGCTTTGCACCTTTTTATCGCTTCCTGAAATATTGCCTATGTCACTCAAACCTGCTTTTACCAGAAATTTCCAGCATCGAGGGGAGGAACAAGGGAAATGTCAAGTAGAAAAGCATTGGGAACCACATCCTTACGCCTCTCTATACAAAGAAGTATTACCTACTTCTATGGATCCAATATATTCATATCCGGCGATTCCATCGATTCCTATGGCCGAAGCTTGTAATAGTAATAATGATTCTTCTCTTGGCACTATCGGTTCCAGTATTGTCGTGAATAACGGTGATTTGTCGAAACAGGAACCACGAAGAACTCCATGTAGAAATTTACGATCACCTGAAGAAACTCGAAGCGGGAACTTTTGTCAAGATGTTGTGGGATCATTTCATAAAGACAACAACAACAACAGGAAAGATTTCTTCCTGGAAGTTTGCAATAGTAATGATGATGCTTCTATTGAAACTATCGATTTCTGTATTTTTAAGAGCAACACAACAAAAGGACAGCCTGTTGCAGTTGCACCAATTCCCAACACGGTCACATTCGGGGTAATGATGGCGACGACATCCCTTTTTCAGCTCTGAGTTCTGATGCAGCCGAGCGCCTTGTTTCTAATTGAATAATAGAACAATGACTCATTGCAGAGTCGCATCCGACTGCGCATAAGATTTCTATCTCAGAGGCTCGTTCTGCCAAAAAATCAATTGGAATCATCTGAGTATTTGATAGGTACACTCAGCAACCATTTTGCGACATCGATCAAATTTCTTTAGAATGCCGAGAAGAGGGCGGCGACGGGAGGGGGGCTGGGAGGGTGGGGGACAAAGTAAGCACGACCCCAAGAATATTTCGGATACAAGTTTAGGATTCTTTTAAGTTTATTAAAAATTCCATCCACTACTAACAGAGTTTATGCGGGCCGTGTGAAGCTTCCGCGAGAGTTAGATACAACCTTGGTCTTCGCAGCTTCCTTTGGAGCGGCTGGTGCAGCAGCACCTCCACCCTCTCCGTCGTCGACTTGAACCACGGGGTATTTGCTTGTTACTTCGTCCCAGCTTGTTCTATTGTGAATAATGTCGTAAATCACGTGAGGAACCTCCGATTTCGGCAATCGAACCTGGACCATTGAGTCACGCTCTCGAATTGTAACAGAGTCGTCTTTAAGGGTATCAAAGTCGACCGTCACAGCAAATGGAACACCAACTTCGTCGGAACGTGCGTAGCGGCGTCCAAGAGCTGCGGTGGATTTATCAACACGAGTCGCAAGATCGTACTCCATGAGAGAAGCAGCAATACCATCAACGATTGCATTGAATTCAGGACTGCTACTGATTGGGAGAACGGCACACTTTTGCGGTGCAACTTGAGGTTTGAATTTCATGACACAACGTTGTTCGTCGTTCTCACGAATGTAGAAGGAGTGCTCCAAAAGAGAGTACAAAATACGTCCCATACCAAAAGAAGGCTCGATAACAGAGGGAGTAAATTTGAGTTCATGAACTTTTTTCGTTGACTGCTCCCAGCTAACCATATCTTTCGTGACCTCAAATCCGTCAACGGTTACCTTTCCATCTGCCTCGAGAGCCTTCGCAATGGGTTCAAAGTCCTTCCAACTCTCAGCCAATTTATCGAGTGCCCCAGATACTGTTCTCGCATCCTTCTTGAAAACCATTCCGATCTTTTTCCGGTCGAATTTCAGTTTGGCGACCTCGATTTCCTTAGGGGTGTCATACTTCACGGTAGCGACCATAGATGTGTTTGTCGCCTTAGCATGCACATCCAAATCGTAACAGGCACGATCGGCATGACCAACACATTCAACCCAACCGTAGCTCGACTTGATTTCCAAATCCCAACAGTCAGCGGCATAGTGAGCCATTTCCGTGGCCAAATGCTGTCGAAAGCGAAGCCGTTCCGGGTCCATGCCGATCTTTTCCATATACAACTGGGTTCGCGCCATAAAGTAACCCAATGTTTCGTTGTTGACCAAACCACCCTTGACGGCTTCTCCGATCTTCAGCGTTTTGGTCTTACCCGTTCCCAACTGATCATCACGACCAAACAATACCAGTTCCTTTTCAGCAACCGAAGAGAAATTGGGGTGCGATTTGTCGTCCGGGTTCACGAAATGTTCAATTTCTCCCATGCAAAATTCTCGGACACGAAGAAGACCACTGCGAGGAGCAATTTCTGTAGAGTTGGAATGAGAACAAAACAAATCCGCAAATTCGTTTTGTGAGTCGAAAACAATTTTTCGTTCCTTTCAATCGGTTTCCACTTCCTTCAAAATACTAACATACCGTTTCGGAAGCCTAGTCCTATCTGAGCTGCTGCAAAAGGCATCTTTTGTGCGTTCAAGTCCAACAAACGACGGAAGTTCACAAACAGACCCTGGGCCGTTTCTGGTCGCAAATATCCAACTGATGTTCCCTCCGGTCCGATGGAAGTTTTGAACATGAGGTTGAAAGGAAAGGATGGACCATAGGCTTCACCAGAGGGGCCCTTGCATTCGTATTTGAGTAGCAATTTGTCGAGTTCCTCTGGACTGTACGCATCAGCTTGTCGCTGTACGCGCAAATGCTCTTCTCTCGTTTCGGCGTCCAAGGTTGGGTTCTTCTCCAACAAATCGTCGATGGCATCTTCCAAAAGTTTGTCGGCACGGAAGCATTCGGAGGTAACCGGATCTTTGACCATGAGATCCGTAAATCGATCTACGTGACCACTCGTCTTCAATACGACTTCTGGGGTAAGATTCGTACACTCCATTTCAAGCATGTTTTCGGCCAGGACAAAATGTTTTCTCCACATATCAACCATGGCAGCCTATGTACGCCAGACGAAACACAAGGAAGAACGACGCATATTTCTCTGAGATTCGTGTTCATGAACAGGTACATCAACAACTACAACTGTGTAATCATCCAAAGAATCTCCCTCTTTCACTACTCACCTTCAGACCACATGCCGGAGGACCCAAGTCAAAAAGACCCTTCACACCGCCATGGATTTCGAAGGATGGGACAACAAACATCTTGCGAATAATCAAATCGTCGAAGGACTTTCTATTGAATTGTGGTTCATTCGCTGTCAACTTTTCAGCCAGTGCCGCGGCAGAAATTTTAAGTTCTTGAAGAGCCGCAACGGCTTCCTTGATCACATCGGCATCGGCTCCGTCTTTCTTCAGCTGTCGAACGGTAGATCCTTGCCCGGTGATTTTTGCGTTCAGAGCGTCGAGCTCATCCTGGACCTTCGAGATGTCTTCTGCTGGTGCTTCCGACATTGTTTCTTAGGAATGCTATGAAGAGGCTTTTCAATATCGCAAACTTTTGTGGACTCTGCCTGTTGTTCCGGTGTGAGAAGCGCTCGAACGAAAACACGGAAAATTTCTCTTCTTCAAGCTCGATCATCAACGTGAGGCAGGGTGGACAATACAACGGAAGGTCCGGGATTTCTCATTTCGACGCGCGTAAACTGAATTGCTTCGCATTCGTGTTTTTGGAAGAAGGACAGACAATAATTATTTCCTGGTTTATTCCGGTACGTCGGTCTGCGGTACGGTAGTATTGAAGAGCTATTGATACAACCAATCAGCAATGCGTTCTCGAACAAATGCGCTCTAGACAAACATCAGGGAAAGGAGGGGTCATACATAATTACGAACTCCTGAGGGAAAGATAAAGTTGGTACAGTACTAGTACTGTACTATAATACGTACGTTCGATATGAATAAAAGTATCGATACGTACGTACACATCACATATCCAATAAAATATTTGACAACAAAATAATCGTTCTCATCGGTTTTTTGAGAGATGATTTTGAACTTGTGATTCATTGGTGGAAGAAAGAACACCAGCAACAGGATTCGTCGAGTTATCGATAGAGATCACAAAAAGGAGAGAAGAGAAAAGATCGCTTTCTGAATCTACGACATGATAAGAGTTGCCCGCAGATTGTTCTCGTCGGACGCACCAAAACTTGCAAGCGCTGCTCTGGATCCAATCACCCATTTTATTTTTGGCGCAAACACGGACATTGGAAAAACCGTTCTTACGGCTGCGCTGCTTCGGGCGAGCTACGAACCGGGTTCCATAAGCAGCAGCAGCACCCACTACATCAAACCCTTGCAATGTGGTGGAAGCGACGAGTCTTTCATCCGGCGAAACGCCCCGGGTCTTTCCTCCGCGAAGACACTCTTTGACTGGGATACACCCGCTTCACCACACATCGCCTCGCGGATAGAAGACAAGCCCGTCAGCGACGAACAGGTATTGGAGTCTTTGAACGGCCATCTGCACGTGCTGGAAAACGCATCGGCAACGGCAACCAACGAGAAAGGGGCATCTAGTAGTAGCAGCGGCGGCGGCGGCAACCGAAGCAGTATTTGGATCGAAACCGCCGGAGGTGTACTGAGTCCCTCCTCGTCCTCTCCCCACAACAGCGCCCCCTATCATGCTCGCAATGATGATAGTCTTGGCGGTTGGGGATGGGTGACCCAAGCGGACTTGTATAAATCCTATCGTGATCGATCATCGATCGTTTTGGTCGGCGATGGACGATTGGGTGGGATTAGCGCAACCCTCGCTTCACTCGAGGCCACGCTGAACCGCAACTACAGGGTAGGTGGGATCCTGCTGCTACGAGATGACAATTCCTCCGAGGAAGACACGAACAAGGAAGCCTTGCAAGAATACGTGGAATCTCGTGCATCGTTGCCGTCACTGGTCGACGATGCACTCCGACCAAGAACGATGCAAAGTGGGCTCTTCGCAAACCCAGAGAAATCGATCGTCTCGCTACCAAAACTTCCACCCGAGCCCGAACCACTGGACGAATGGTACGCTTCTGGTCAGGTGAAAGATCAGATATCATCTTTTGTCCATGATCATTTGTTTTGTTCTTACGACGATGAGGCGGTTTAGAAAAACAACAACAGGGGTTTTAATAATGAGTCAGTTAACCACAATGAGGTAGATACCGTCTTTCAATCTTTCCCCATACATTCTCAGAAGGGATTCCAAAGTTTTCTCGCGATCTCCAGAACACATTTCTGTTTCGCACGGATGCGATCGCAGCCCTTTCTGAACCGAGATACCAAACTAAACCTATAGCCTTTTTTGGACTATTCAAAAATATATAGACTGCAAAGGTACAGAACTTATTGTACATGTACTTGTATGGAGCATAGAAGACAAATATTGGTTTCTTTTGAACTTTCCTTCCCTGATTATAAGATTATACGGACGTGACAATGGGCTTACTATGTGTGCCCGTTTCATCCGATACTGTCGAGTCTCCACCCATTGCCGGCGCTGCATCAAAACCATCATCGGATGAGAACGACGCATTCAGAGAAATGACCGGGGTATCGGGAGGCTTATCGTCGTCGAGGGGCACAGGCGGTGGCGATAATTCTTCGTCGGGGGGGGGCGGTGGAGGATTCGCAGGTGCTCCTACCAATCCAATCGATGCTTTCGCACCGCTCGAACCAAAAGACAAATTAATGCCCATCTTTTCGGGTTCTGGTGAATCTTCCGAAGCTAGATCAGACCGTTTCGAATCCATCGCCGCTAGCTCGGGAAGGACCGAAGAGAAGTCGTTCACCTGGCTCTGCAAAAATTCCACTTGTTGTTTGTGAAAGACATTCAATACATGTCGCATGCGTTCGTGCCATTCCACACGGAACCGTTCGATATCTCGTTCCAGTCTCGTGGTGACGAGGTCGCTATGGTTTCTGCTCTCAGCGATCCTGTTATCGCAATGGCGCATTGCCGTTTCCAACTTGTAATATTTGTCCTGCTGGCTTACCATGTTTCCCGCCATTCTTATTCTATCCAGTTGTTTGTTAAGCTTTTGTCCTTCTTTGGAGAGTCTTGTGTACGCGTACACTGCTTCCTTGCGCTTTTTCAGTGCATCTTGCAATGCAATGACGTCCAGAAGCAAATCGTCAATCGGGTTTTCAAAATGGCGTTCTCCGAAGACAACGTGATTTTTGATGCGAAGGCTGACATTGGACCAAACCTTGCCGAGGCCCTGATAAAGTTTGCTGCTACTCGTATTCGAGAGTTCGTGTTCCCCCCATAGTTGTGCAAAGGCAGCCCCGATCGTACCCGTTTTCTCGGCCAGGACCTTGTTGGAGGAAAGTATTGCTTTGTAATCCTCGCTGAGGATCCTCACACATACCTCCAAGTGGCTGGCATATGTTTTCATATCGGTAAATTTCTTTGCTTCGGCGGGTGTCTCTTCAAGTATCAGATTCTGATTTTTCAATGCCCACTCGGTCCGCTTCGCGGAAAACCATCTCCTCATCGTGCCCTTCTGTTCCTCGAGACCCAAGCCGTGGACTGCTGTATCTACATCGACGTGAATCGTTTCTAGGGCATCCCCTAAATCATCTGCTCCACCATTGCTGGTGGTATTTTCCTTCATCAATGACTCTTTGTCGTTTGCGGCATTCTCTTTCGCGGTTTTCCAGTCCGTCGGGTTGGACGTGAAGAATGGCAACAAACACGGCGCATCGACCAATTCGGGGTGGTGAATCACCCGTTGAAGGAATCGGTTCATATTCTCCTGTCGAAAGGTGATGAATTCCTCAAAGAATTGATCCTTAACTTTCGCGGGTTTCTTATTCGAAAGGATCGGGACGATACTACATTTTGGGTTGTTGAAGAGTGCACAAAAATACAATTTAGGTCAGTATTGAGATCACATCGCCATAAGTATCAAACAGTATATAGTTCACGTAGACAAATAAAACACAATCATTACTCATTCAATAAAAACGACAACCCGGCAGACAAACTTACATTCCCATCCGTTCTTTCACGAGACGCTCTTGAACCCATTTGAAATCTTCAAACGATCTGCGAACAAGTGACTCGGATCCCTCGTCGAAGGAAGTCGTGACGAGGTAATCCACAACCGCGGCTTTCCCTGACCCATGCTTTTCAGGCTTAGATACATTGGTTACTTTGGCACGGGGATTTTTCGTCTTCATTTTACTTTGTATCCTTCTGTTGTTAACGACGGCTAAGAAAAGACTAAGAAAAGATGCAGCAAAAGTGATATGGAGTGTCAACAGTTACAGTACTCGATAACGCCGGCATCGGTCATAATTTTTTCGAATTTTTTGTGCACCTTCGTCGTTGAAGAGTAAGAACTGTACTGCAACTACGTACTTGTACTGACTGGCACCATAATGGAAGACACAGCATCCACATCATCGGCGTACCGTATGTTATCTTTTTTTAATTTTTTGTCCGAAGTATCACAACGGCACGAGTTGTTGGCTAACGCACCAAGAAGCACTTACTTCTGTGCAAAACCTGAGAGCAAAGGTAGAAAAATAAAAAAGAATTGAGAAGCAAATAGAGTAAACTAAAGAACTGGGGCTGCTTGTTGTTTCAAAAATAGGAATGATGGAGTTCATTGATTTGTTGTCTATTAGTAGTACTACTAGTACTAGCTATGATGGTGATCATTTTTGCTGGTGACAGTGTTGTTTTTAGTAGTTGTGAAGAGAAGAAGAAGAGGATGAGGTGCTGGTGGTGTTGCTGTTGTTCTTGTTACAAGAAACAGAGGACCATCAATTGAATTTTTTGGTGTTGTAGTAAGAACTCTTCTTGAAAGCATACTAACATGAATCCAATTGCTTGTGTAAGACCTGGCTGAAAACAATCCTTCGTCACACAAACCTGTACTATGGTTTTTTTTTTT